AAAAACTTTTTCTCTCTATAATGGCATCACTTGTGGATGGATTGAAACTTGAATACCAAAAATATAAAAAAGAAGAGCAAGAAGGGAAGGATTCTTTTGGCACCCTTTTTCAATTTTTAGAAATGGCGGTTTGTACTTATGAAAAGCTGACTGTGCAACAGGATGACTGGGATAAAGAAGAAGCCATTTTTGATGAACAAGTGACTTTAGTTGGGGAAGGAAAGGAGAAAGAAAAAAAGGAAAACGGGACTTTAAGACTTGGAAAAACAACCAAAAAAGAGAAGAATAAGGTGAAAAGTGGATACCATGTTAGAAAACAACAGAAAGGAGGAAAGCAGAACAAAAGGGAGGTGGAGAGACAAGGGGGTAAAGAGGGCAAGGAGAAGAATAAGCAAGGGAGAAAGGAAGGGACGAGAAGCCTCAATGGTGGGGAGCAAGATGCAAAGAAACAAAAGTCTTTTAGAGATAATGGGTAAACTTTATTGAAAAAGGGATTCTAGAAAGGTACATAAGATTGTATTTTATATTTGTACTTAGAAATAATCTTGGAAAATTGGGAACAATATGTAATTTAAAATGTGATAAAATATTTAGTATAATTTAGTGAAATTTTTGTCAAGAAAAGGGGAACATTTTAACGAAACAATGATTTAAAATATGTGATGTGGGGGGGGGGGGGAAATAATTATGGAAAGCATAAGTGTTCCCATAAAGGCATGATATTTAATTGAAATGGGTAAAATATTTAATATTAATATTAATGATTAGATTGTGTTATCCCAGTGAAATTTTTTGTGAAATGAGAGATTTGAAGTAGGAGAAGGGGGAACATTCTAATGAAATAATGATTTAAAATATGTGATGTGGGGGGGAAATTACTATGGAAAGTAGGTGTTCCCATAAAAGTATGATATTTAACTGAAAAGTAATGTGTTAAGTGTTTAAGATATAAATGAATATTAATATTAATGAATAGATTTGTATTGACATTGATAATATTGTATAATTTTAGAATGTACCAAACAGAATCCCAATGTAAGCTATGTATTTTATATTAAGTATTATAAATGTAGGGGAAAGAGATAAAGGTGTCATACTCCAATTAGTGTACAGGAGAAGTTTTCTTTAAAGAAGAAAGATAAATGGATAGCTGGAAATAGAACAGACAAAGAATAATAAATATTATGATTTGAATTGAGATGAGATAAATAAAATAAAATTAAGAAAATTTAAAAGAGATGAGAAGCTATATAGAAAATTGAAAATGGTAATAAGATATGGAATGGTATACAAAATGAATATGAATTTGAATTTGTGTCTGTACGAAGAGTTGTAACCCGGGACTAAGCAACTTTCAGAAAAGATGTTTTTTATGTTTCTATGTTTTGTGTTTTTGAGTGCTTATGCTTGATTGAGCTAATAAAACCTTGGAGGAATGTTAGAAGAGGACAATTGAGAATAAAAGATAGAAGAGAATAAAGTAAGTCAGAAGGAAAAATAAGTATAGTGAATAAAAACATATAAAATAGATAAATATAGAAAATAAATATAATTGAATAAAAGTAAAGGGAGAAATAAGGAGGAACTTGAAAGGATATGTATGTGTTTATAAGATGTGTCAATGATGTATAAAATGTTTTATTTGTTTAAAATTTACAAATAACTTTCAGAAAAGAGGTTTTATGTTCTTATGTTTCATGTTTTGTATGTCTTTAAAAATTAATAAAATTTGTTTAAAAAAAGAGAGAAATATAGAGAAGAATGTTTTTTAATAGAATGGTAGAGGCAGTTGGAGGGAGGTTTGTGTGCTAATGATTTAATCATTAGCAACATGAGATACAATGTCTTTGGTATTAGTGATATCAATTAAACAGCAATTTTTTACAGAAAGAGGGAGGGTGCAATTCAGAAGAAGGACCTTAGAAGTTACTCCAGGAAAGGACTTGGTACGAAAAAAAATATTCAAAAGAATTAAAAATGAATTAAATTTTTAAAAATGAAGGTGAAAAACAATATTAAAACAGTATAGGACAATATGGGAAATTTCAGCCATATCAGAGTAATGTTTCCAAACTTAGTGTCTTCCAGATGGATCAAGAATTAGCCTAATGCTGGGAACAATTGAGGGCAAAAGAAGGGGATGGAACAGAATTTTCACACAGATGACCACACAGACTCCTTCCTTTTTCCAAAAGAAATCTCAACAAGAAAAGAGAATGGAGATGGGATGACTGGAAAGTGTAATTGCACATGGAAAGAGAAGGAAAGACAAGGTGAGACAAACCATGTAGAAAAGGAAAGAGGTAACTTTTCTGCAGAGAGCAGAAAAAGCTTTGTTTCCGTGTTGCAACCAGTTTGAATTCACCAGACAAACAGCCCTCTCAAGTCCCAACTAATCTTCAGTGCTAATTCTACAACATTTAAATAGCTTAATGCCAGTCCCTTTGTTTTCAACATTTCCTGTCTTACTCAAGACAGTTTAAACCTTTCTATCATTCACCTCCCAATTCACGACCAATTGACCAAGTTGACTTACTGTTTTTATAGAAATATAAAAATATGATAATAGAAGCTTTGGTGAATAAACAATTGCTTATTTTAGTTTCTTCTTTATTAAAAGTGTGGCTTAGTTTGATCTGAATGCAGGTTGAAGGCTAATACTGGCCTTTAACCACCTCTGGCTTAGCCTGAGGCAATCTAATCTTTGGTGAAGGTAATTACTGAGCCATCAATTTGAAGTGTGCAAAGACTGGTAATTGTTGCCACCAATACCACAGTAAGCAGAGGCAACTTGAAGCAGTTTGAAAGAGTAACAATCCTTGAGAAACTAAGCAGAAGGAAGGTTGTAAATCTCAAAAGTGACACAATATAAATAATTATTTTCTATTTGACTCTAAATGTGTAACAAAGCCCAATCTCTTACTGAAGTTCTGCAAAACAATCCAATAATCATAAGAGTTACTCTTCTTTGAAAATTGATTTAATAATTATTATCTCATAGCATCTAGGTGCTGATCCAGTCCACATTGGCTTAATTCAACAGCTTTATAACACCAGTTTTACTGGTGCAGAATTACATAACATTTTTTTGCATTTTATTTGGGAAATGTGCATAAGTGTCTTTTGGACCAGGTACCCATCTTGCAATCTGACATCAGTTTTTATAAAACATCAAGTTCTATAAGAGAAAAAGTGAACAAGTATTCATCAAATATATGAACATCTACATACAATGTAAGCTCAATTGATTTTGCTTTGCTGTGCAAAGGTACACATATTTAACCACACCCTCTTTGGGGCATCATGACCTACAGTACATTATAACAGTGCAAGAAAGTATTCTTCTGTTCCAGGTTTGCCTAAACACATGGAAATGCCTGATGCCCACAGAGAGTGATATGTAGATATTTTAGATGGAAAGACGGATGGGGGTGGATTGGTGAATAAACCAATTCTTTCTGCACTATACCTTCTCTCCCTTCCTCTGCTTAAATGAGGATGAGAGTGAATTTCTAACGTGGAATAAAATAAAAATGAAATTTTGATGTAAATATATTAAATGTAATGTAAAAATGTAAACAGTGGTTTCATGAACAGCATTAGTGCTTGCATGCAGCAAAAGCTACGTGATGTGCAGCAGGCAAAGTAGAGGCATTAGTTGAAATGGACCAGGTCATGCAATTATTTGGAAAGAAGCTGCTGAGGAGAATAATAAAGTGTGGATACCTGTGTGGATCATAGCTTCCTCCATCTTTACTTCCTGATATAGGAAAATACAAGAGTAACTTTTGTTAGTGTTTAGATTTGGTAAAATCATTCATAATGTAGCTTTCCATGCACAGCATCTAATTCCTAATAATAATTTTATGGGGTTATAATCAAGTAAAGAAGCAGTCCGACAAAGATACCTGAGTAAGGTATGTTCTGAAATAACTAAAATAGGACAAAAAGATGATTAAGTTACAAGAAAAGGGAAAGGTTTATTGGTAAATAAAATGAAACCATAAAAATTGGGAGATAAATCTCCAGGGAACAAACCCATAATTTCTAATTATATTACAGATGATAAAAGAATGGACATCTTGCCCCTTTGGGAGGAAGTAAGAGCTGGTTCAGCTGTGCACTTCTGGAATAGGAGTTGATGGTGTTGTGCAAGGCTGATGCCCATTCAAATTCCTCTCTCCTATTGGCAAGTTCAGGTTGCTATTATTGCTCTAAGATGTGTAAAAAGAGGCAAGTTTCAGGCTTTGACCATCTCCAGTAGATTAGACTAGAACCCTAATCACCAGAAAGCTCTACAATCAGCTAAAGAGAATATTTTAAATGACAATACAGAGGATATGCAACATCAAACTAACATTAAGGGACACATATTAAGGTCTCATAATACAACCATCTTAATGGTTATTTGTATAATAAAAAACATATGACAGCTGTATTTTATCATACTCTTATTTTATTTCATCATATTCTTACTCACAATTTCCAATGAATTTTTGGAGAAAATAATTTAGCCTAATTATTGATAATGGGTAATTATTGTATCGTAGCTTACATTGAAAAAGAATTACAGTCTGTTAGAAATATGTAGAGCAAACATATAGGTAAATAAGGAAATTGCAAGTGTTTCTGCTCCTTTGATGATTGAGTCAATCACTGTCCCTCAGTCCAACCCACCTCACAGGGTAGTTGTTGTGGGGAAAATAGAAGAAAGAAATATTAGATTGGTTTGTCACCTTGGGTTATTTATAAGAACAATAAAGGTGGAATGTAAATAAATAAAAATAAAACATTTTGATATTATGTATTATTCATATGTTCAGTGAAGTGCATTATTTTCTTGAGCTTTTAAGTCCTTATCTAAAAGTCGTTGTCAGGAACCATATTTTGATCCTTGAACTATTACACAGCAAGAGGTTTCACAGACAACTTAGCTGCTCCTTGGAATAATTAGGGGAAACAAAACACAATGTTCCAGTTTTTAAACCATGGGTTATTACCTGTGTCAAGTCCCTTAGGTCTTGGATTGCACTGCTTATAACCTTGACAACTTCGTAGCTCCATTAGCTGAAGATGTAGCTGGTTCAAAATGCCTCTTTCTACTGTATGTACTGAATTTGTTAGCTGGGCATAGAAAGAAAGAAATGAATGCCTGCATCTGCAAAAGGTGTGAACTTAAAATGATTATGCTTACATACATGGACTTTCAGAAAGTTATAACTGCTTGTCACATTTCTTTTGTAGTTGTATTAACCCCTTTGGAACACATATGCAAGGATCTACAAATAATTCTTGATTTACTGCCTCTGATGGTCATAAGTTGTAATGGTCATAAATCAGGTCACCCACATGACCAATCTAATCTTTTTTGCAGTGATTGTTACATGAACCAAGGGGCTGCTTTTGCCAAAAAACTGGAAATAAATGCAAGTTTTTGGCATAATCATCATAAAACGCAATTATGTGACCATAGAAGCAAAAAGCTGCAAATGCAGCACGCCTAACATACAACTATGTGATCGGGGGGGAGGTGGGCAGCTTTCAAAACTTTGGGACTGGGTTATAAGTACCCCAGGGAGGTCTGTCATAACTTTGAATAGTCATTAAGCAACTGGTTGTAAGTCAAGTACTACCTGTAATCTTTTCTCAGTGCTTAGCAATACACTACGAGAGCTGAAAAGTATACATGACTGTATGCTTGGATCAAAACTTGGATGTGTTTGGAGAGACCAGCTTACATTATTTTGAGTTTTATCAAGACATAAAATGGGATATAATTCAAATGTATTAATAGTGGCTTAGCTAAAGTAGTGTCCCATAATTGGGTTTTAACATATATTTTTAACATACATTTACCTGATAGGGATCAGAATTCATATCAAAATACTCCAAAAATCCTGTAGCAAATTCACAGAAGAGGAAGTTGTGTGTTTCATTTACTGTTCGCAAACACCAGTAAGTGTTGTTGTTGGAGCTTGTACAAGCACAGAATGATCCCACTGTTATAGGGGGGAAATAAATGTAAACATACATGTATTCATTTCACTTGAGCAAGGACAATCCATTGATAGTTCCATGAGCATATCACAAGCTTCATGCAACAATATTGCATATTAGTGGACAATGCTTGTACAAGGTGCAGATATAGCTCTTACAAGTGCACAAAAACCCACCTTGTAATGTTAGAAAAACAACCTCCTGATGATGAGCAGTTTGGAATTTGAATTGCTATCAGGAGAACTTTCTCTCCTGGGAGTTCTTCAAACCAGAGCCGAGACAGTCCACAACTGGATGAGTTCAAGCTCTGAGCAATGGATTGGCCCTGTTTGCCTATGAGACCTCCTCCAGATACATCACGAAATAGATAATGGATACTCCTAGGTTTCCTAGTACTGTCACATATGTTGCTGTCCCTTTTGTCCACCACCATCTATTTAATCAGGCAAAGCTTTTACCACTCATGGGTCACGCAAGATCTCTGGTTTCATTTACTTTGAAACTGTTTTCACTCAGAAATCTGTAAATTAAATCTAGTTAGTTCAGCTCTAAATATAATTCTAGTTTGAATTAACATACCCATTTTTAATGAGCTCATTGTCTTTTCCTCTCCTCTCCATATGAGATCCAGAATAAATATGCCCTCCAACTCCCTAAAAGCTCATATCAATTCTTATTCCCATGAGCATGCATCTACTGGAAGTGGTTCTCACAGTTCCAGAATGGTGCAGTCTGCCAGTGATTGTTGTCATGAGTAAAGCAAGTGAGTCCAGGAAGGCTGCATTCATCTCCTTTCTTCTGGCGCTTTTTCCCTTTCCTTTCTTTTTTTCTCCTCCGATTCTCTTTGAAGAACTGAAGTTTACCATCCACCTCTTGAGCAGCTTCCCTAATCATCCAGGAATATTTAATAGATGTTAAACAACAGCATATTTTAATAATCGAGGGTACAATAAACTAAGTCTATGTACATGTGCATTTTTCACATATGAACTGACCACTGCAATTTGGCTTATAGTCTAGAAACATTATGTACTATTATTTTCCCTAGTTCTGGAACAGTATCATCAGCGACATTGGCGAAGCTCACTAGTGCTCATGGGAACTGTTATGCAAAATATATGGATTGCATCAGGTTTTGAGACATTAATTTGCTTTATTAACCCTTGTTGATAAACCTATTGCAGGCGGGGGAGGGAATATCTTCCTTCTGACTCTCTTTGATCTCTCAGTGACCTTTAATATCATCAACTATGTTATTGTTCTTGCCTGGCTTAGGAGGGAATAGGAGGCACAATGTAATGGTGGTTTTCTTCCTATCTCCAGAACTGATTCCAGCTGGTTTGCTGAGGGGAGACAGTTCTACATGGTGGGATAGCTTAAGGATCCATTCTCTTCCACTTTTCTTTAACTTAAATAAAACTGCTAGATGTGGTCATCCATTGACATAGCTTAGGGATCATATGTATGCTTTTGATAGTCAGTTGCATACATCTGCCCTGATCAACCAAGACAAGTGATGCTTGATTATAATCCTAGAAAGATGGTGGTTTTGATAATGTAATGGTGGTTTTCTTCCTATCTCCAGAACTGATTCCAGTTGGTTTGCTGAGGGGATACAGTTCTACATGGTGGGATAGCTTAGCGATCCATTCTCTTCCACTTTTCTTTAACTTAAATAAAGTTAAATTATCTAAATAAAACTGCTAGATGTGGTCATCCATTGACATAGCTTAGGGATCATATGTATGCTTTTGATAGTCAGTTGCATACATCTGCCCTGATCAACCAAGACAAGTGATGCTTGATTATAATCCTAGAAAGATGGAGTAATTATAGGCTCATTGTATTTTACACAATTATGATATTTAACCTTGTCCATTTTAATGTGTTTCTAAGTCACCAATAGAAATAAATGGAAATGTACTGTAACCAAGTAGATTGAAAACAATTTATGTTTGGAAATGGAACAAAATTGAAGTACATAGAATTGGGTACATTACAATTCCGGTGAAATGAACATAAAGTTAAGCAATCAACATGAGATACAATAAAACAAATTGAAATGTAACCAAGGAATTCTTTAAAGCTATTTCCTTATTCCAAATCCCATATCATTAAGTGAAACATTTTTTTTTTTACAAACTTCCGTAGCATGAGAATGACAAGATGATTGGAAGGTATGTATCATGAATATATGCTGGAAAGGTAATATGCTGGAAATTAACAAGACTCACTTGAATGGATGTAGATGACTTGTCTTAAGCTTTTCTTGAACTTTTGTCCCCTTTTCTTTGTGGTAATAGCTATAAAAATATTATAACATAAAAAGCTTTCTGTAAAATGCCTATTTAAAGCAAAAACATGTCTGATATTTTAAAATCTGATTATGACCAGCACTGATTCTATATACAGTGGGCCTTTTTTAAAGAAGCATGGATCTGGGGTAAAATTTTCTTGGATTTCAGAAGCATTTAGTTCGACCAGAAACTTTTTGGTCAAAGTTTTTTATATTAACAATATCAAACTTTTTTTATATTAACAATATAAAATATCTGGACTATAGCAAAATGGTTCTAAATTTTGTTTTAAAAATGCCTCTAGGATTACTTACTTCAAAAATCTTCCTGAAATTTAACTATATAAGTATAATTCCATCAAATAATGAAATTATATAATGAAACAAAATCCAATAAAAATTTTTTACATGCTGTCATAGTTACAAAATCAACCTGAGAACAATTAATCATGCTTTCCAAGTTAGATCATAATATGTAAGTTATTGAGAAAGTTTTATACACCTTTTTTTGCTACAGTCACATTCATCTGGTTTTCGTCTTTTAAGATGTCCTCTTACTTCTCTTAAATTTTTAATTTTATCCTGGAGAGCTTCAATCTGCAGAAAGAATGACTGGTTTAATAGCAATATTATATACCCAATCCTTATATTGGTCATGATAAATCTTCCCATTAAACTATTTCATATCATTACTAAATATATATAAAATTATCATTGCTTTTTAATACTTTAAATCATTCATATGTTACAAGCACACCACTGCAATAGCAATTTCAGATGTGGTGAACTGCCACTAAGCAATTATTTTCCAAAGGCCATAGAGTGTTTAGAATGTTCTTTAGTGTGATTTAGATTACCACAAGATATTGACTACTTTTCAGTCTATTTGTTTAGATTTTCATGTTCCATTTCTTATATTAGTTTTCTGAAGTGAGCAGAGTTGTTGTTACACAATCCCAATATGTTTAAAAGTTTCATGTGGGGGAAGACTGATTTAGGGAATCAAACCCAGAAACATGGCCCATTGTCTGAAGCTGTCTTGTTTGTATCATTATAAATAGGACTACATAATTTGTCCAAATTAGTATTTTATAAGAAATCACAGTGAATGACAGTGGGGACCAATCCAAGAAGAGATACTGGAAAAGAAAGAACCATAGATAAGTCTTACTCTCATAACACTGAACAATAGTTTACCATTACCTCCAAGAACATATATTGTATATATCAACATGCAGAAATTTATACCCAATTCCAATATTATTCAAAATGTTCATTCAATATATATTGATAAATTATATATATCTGATAAATTATTCTGTCTCAAAATACCAGTTCTAATTCTAAATTAAGAAAAAGTCCTTCCAACCTCCTTGTCAATGTAGGCTTTGTGATCTTTCCAAGCTCTGGCTGAATGATATAGCTCCCTTTCACAATGAATAGAATCATTTGAAAGAATAAAACATCTGTAAGGATAGAATAGAGAGAAAAAATAATAAATTGTGATATGTTTGAGATACCTTGCCCAGCCCAAATTCTAGGACTCTGCACAGCAATAAAAAAGCAAATAACTCCAACTACTTTAACAGTTAACTGTAGTAAGTGCTTGGTCTAAAAGCTTTCTATAGAGAAAGCAATACTAATGTCTTAACACTTAAGACTTAACTTAATATCTAAGCATTAAATCTGAGCTTATGAACACTTAAGTACACAGACATTTCAAGAAAAGGTATTTGCTTTTAAATATATCTACTGCATTTCCCAGGACTTAAATGATACAAAACTATCCCTAAAATTGTTATTTTTCTCCTTCTACCTCCATCAAATATTTATCCTACCTTTAAAAGCTCCCCAAAATATTGTTCTCTATTATACAAACTAGTCCTATCTCAAATGTACTTTTCTTGTCTTCTTGGTTCCCAAGTATTCTGCATTAAGTATAAAATGCACTGCACTGCACACCGGAACAACTAGACACAAGGACAGTTTTTCCCGAATGCCATCACTCTGCTAAACAAATAATTCCCTCAACACTGTCCAACTATTTACAAAGTTTGCACTACTATTACTGTTAATCTTCTCATCACTCCTTATCACCCATCCCCTCCCACTTATGACTCTATGACTGTAACTTTGTTGCGTGTACCTTTATGATTTATATTGACTGTTTCCTAGTATGATTCCATTGCTTATTGTACCCTATGACTATTGTTAAGTGTTGTACCTTATGATTCTTGACTTTTGATTAATGTATCTTTTCTTTTATGTATACTGAGAGCACTTGCACCAAGACAAATTCCTTTTGTGTCCAATCACACTTGGCCAATAAAAGAATTCTAATCTAATTCTAATGCTCTATCTTGTCCAAATTTGAATAAAATCCTCCATGCAATTAAAAACCTGTTTCATCTTGAATTCTAATTCAGGAAGAGTGTGCTCATATTCAGGTAAAAATAATTTCAGACCTTCCTGCTCAGTTAGGGAAGTTGAGAAAAGAGGGAATGGCCACACAGGGAAATTGGCAGAAGGGCTTATGTGCTGCTCTAGCTTTCATGTCTCAGATCTTCTGTAGTTGTTCAAGATAAATCCAAGCCCCTTTGGGTTTACTATTTGATATTCATCCTCAAATGAAAAGCAGACATTGTTTTTGCTCAAAATGTATCCACTAAAATCTTCTCTTTTCTATCCCTGAAGGAATTCTATCCCTGAAATATAACCCTGGGGCTATATTTACTTTTGCTACCTGGGATAACACATATAGTAGAGGATTCTGAATAAATAATGAAAAGCAATTAAGTAAAGCACTCCTACTTATGAGTAACTCTGACAGAATCTGGCTGGCCAACTGTGTTAGTTCCATCAGCAAGCATTGCTTTAATTCCATCACCATCTTCAGGATGACCTTCCTCTGTTTCATCCTCTTCCTCTTCACTGTAACTTCCATGCCGCTTAACAACGCTTTTCGATTGAAGGACGTGAAACTCCTCCTCCTCTTCTTCCTCCTTCTCCTCTTCTTCCTCCAGATTTATACTATATATTTCCCCTTCAAATTCCACAGATAAGGACCGAGTTTGGCGAGTATGGACAAACCGGGGTTTGTATTCTGCATAAGATCACAGACTCATCAAAAGGAAACTATAAAATGCACGCTCTTTGAAAGATAACCAAGACATTGGATAATGTCTATACAGTCCATATAAACAATATAAATAGTGATAGCTATTTCCAATTCTGCATTTCGGGGCACAGTTTTACTAAAGATGGTTTGCTACATTTTAAAAATTATTATTTATTTAAAAATAATTATAATCCTTAGCAATCTTGACAGACTCTGGCTAGCAACAAAACAAAAATCATTTAAATACAACATGAAAATGATATATAAAAATGCCTATAATGGTTGCCCATAATCAGTTAGGGCCATACCAACTTCCACTAGTTTGTGAAATGCAAAAAAGATTGGGTGCCTTAACCATCAGAAAGATATTCCACAAAGTGGGAGCTACCATACAGCTAACATCTTATCTATATCAAATGTACAATGTTGCAAGGAGGCAGGATTTTCTGCAGGCCTTCTCTAGATGGCTGGACTGGATGGGCAATTTTAATTCAGTTATGTCCTTTAAAAGATAACTAGTATTGAACGAATATACTGTACTTGAACTTGCTTTATGCAGAGAGAAGAATGAGCTAGTAAAATGAATTGCAACAATTCTGTAGGTGGGAAATTAAATTTTTGAATGCTCTGCAATGTAAAACCAATACACTCTTTGTAAGATTTTACCTTTGCTCTTCCAGATTAACACCTGAATATTTTTTAGGATGATAATTCAAAGATGTGATTCCCATTCTAACAACTGAGTCTGAATACAGTGGCAGGTTTTTTTTTTTCAACCTATAAGGAACAAATGATTCTTTAGCATTGCTGCCCATCAAGATCTCCGGCTTTTTCAAATCTATCATCACCTACTTTGTACACTGGATGTCCTCATGAAGCCTCTTTGATTTTTCCTTTGTGCCCGACTGGTCTGATAATCAGCCTCCCCGCAATCACAGTCATTTTCTTGGCTGCTATATCCCTGGGAATGTATACTCCGTGTTCTTTTTCTAATAGCAAGAATGTCACTGGCCCCTTTGCATTTGTGAATACGTAGTTTTCCGGACGCGTCTTCAATACACTGCCATTTCTGTGGGGAAAGAAAAGACAGTCCAGTGAAACATAGATGGCAATAATATCCTAGAGAACATTTATTTCTTTTTGCACCTTGTTAAACATTAATCTATGTACTATAGTGACATTCATACTACCCTCATCTTACCATTACTGCATAAATATTCAGGATGTACAGGGCAATTCTTCACCTCCCAGCTGCTCTCAAATACCAACCCTGCTACAACAAGCAGGTTCGCAGACTGTGTGCAGCAGCGCTCAAAATTAGTCAGACGATGACCAGTGCTGTAAACTAGATTTAATGAGCACCCAATTCATTATATCATGATGCTCTGTAACTTCCACATATTGTATTAACATTTTAAGATCCCCTACACCTCATCCAAAACTTCTTTTAGATTTTTGTTTCTATATATACTTTGTTTTTTAAATCCATATACCTTTTATATTTTATAGCTTTTAAAAATATAGATTTTTTTTTACTCTGATTTATCTTTTGGTTTTTAAATGACTATACTCACCCTTCCTATGGCAATAAACAAATAAAAAATTAAATGTTTTTAGGCAAATTAGTTTTTTTTAAATGAAATGCAAACAGCTATAAGTCCTTCAGGTGAATTCTGTTGGGAATTTATAATTTGCCAATTTCAAAAAGTACTTGCATGATTTTCATGTCCCTTTAAACTTAATTTTTATTGTTGGCTTTGTTTTGGGCAGAGTTGGATGAAATTTCTAAACAATTAATGAAACCATGCTTGCTAAGTTTCCAAAAGTGAGACGTGTACACATCCCTGGGGTCTGTAGCCAATGAAAAAGGCACAAGAGCTGAGATACCGTTGCACCATACAAATCTACCCCGTTTCTGAAGAAAAGAGGCAGCACTATGGAAAGCCTTTGATTTGAAAAAGTTGAGGCTGCACTTCTTACCGTTACCAAAAGAGGTCGACAGAACTCTGCTCATAATTTAATGTTTTGGGATGCATACAAAGTTTCTTTATTCTGAGAAAGATATTCACAGCTACTAGTGGAAAAATAATTCTAGTAGAAAAGTAGTAATTTATTTTATAAATTTACAGCTCTATTCAATGAGAAGTGATTCGCTCATGATAACCAGGAAGCTACATCATTAGCAAAAAGATTGATCCATCAAGTCAGTGTCAACTCTTAGTGACTAGATACATTTTCTCCTGAAGGATTTTCCCCTAACTTGGTATTTCAGATCTTTGAATGGTGCACCTGCCACCACTGTTAATTAGCCCAACAAAGGAGTAGAATAACTGAAATTTATAGCTTCTAATCTGTTGCTTAGCAGTTCTTGAGTTAAATAGATAAAACACTCACTTGTTGACTTTACCCTTGATGAGGCGGCACCCTGAGTAAACAGGATATCTCACTGAATATTGAAGCCACTACTTGAACTGCTAGGATTCTATATATATAATTTTCAGAAAATAGACAGGTAATTAATAAGCAATCCCATCTTTATGTTTTTACACTCCGATATCAATCATGTGGAATAATACTGGGTAGATTTACATTGTAATAGGAGAATATAGAAGTGAGGAAAGATAATTCCAGTACCAAAGTGATAAAGCACGCGCTATTTGCTAAAATTTGAATTTATTTATTTATCATTGATGTTTTCACAACTCCAGGAAGTTGGAAATAGGCAAATTATTCTTATATTATAGATAGATAACCACATTTTGCCCAAGATCATCATTAGAATAGCAAAGATTTCTACTTATTTTCTCATAGACACCTAATGCTTAATTCTGACCATGAAATCTAAACAAGAATAGAATAGAATAGAATTCTCTATTGGCCAAGTGAGATTGAAAACACAAGAAATTTGTCTTGGTGCAAATTATCTCAGTGTACATAAAAGAAAAGATACATTTGTCAAGAGTCAAGAATCATAAGATACAACACTTAATAATAGTCATAGGGTACAATAAGCAATCAAATCATACTAGGAAACAGTCAATATAAATTGTAAGGATACGAACGACAAGTTACAGTCATAGAGTCACAAGTGGGAGGGGATGGGTGATAAGGAGTGATGAGAAGATTAATAGTAATAGTAATGCAGACTTTGTAAATACAGTAGTTGAACAATGTTGAGGGAATTATTTGTTTAGCAGAGTGATGGCATTCGGGAAAAACTCCTTGTGTCTAGTTGTTCTGATGTGCAGTGCTCTATAGCATTGTTTGAGGGAAGGAGTTGAAACAGTTTATGTCCAGGATGTGAGGACTCTGTAAATATTTTCACAGCCTTCTTTTTGACTCGTGCAGTATACAGGTCCTTGACTGAAGGCAGGGTGATAGTAATTGTTTTTTCTGCAGTCCTAATTATCCTCTGAAGTCTGTGTCTGTCCTGTTGTGTTGCAGAACCAAATCAGACAGTCATAGAGATGTAGATGACAGACTCAATAATTCCTTTGTAGAACTGTATCAGCAGCTCCTTGGGAAATTTGAGCTTTCTGAGTTGATGCAGAAAGAATATTCTTTGTTGTGCTTTTTTTGATGACATTTTTGATATTAGGTGTCCATTTTAGATCTTGTGGTATGATAGAACCTAGAAATCTGAAGGTCTCTACTGTTGATACTGTGTTGTCTAGCATTGTAAGAGATAGTATGGGAGGGGTTTCTCCTAAAGTCTACCACCATTTTTATGGTTTTGAGTGTGTTCAGTTCCAGATTGTTCCAGTTGTATGAGGCAAGTTGTATAACCTCCTGTCTGTATGCAGGTTCATTGTTGTCTCGAATGAGACCAATCACTGTTGTATCATCTGCAAACTTCAGAATTTTAACAGATGGGTTGCTTGAGATGCAGTCATTGGTATATAGGGAGAAGAGGAGAAAGCACACAGCCTTGGGGGGCCCCTGTGCTAATTGTAGAGGTATCAGAATGTGATTCTGCCTAGCTTCACCTACTGCTTCCTGTCTGTTAGGAACTTATAGATGTAAGAATATATAGGCATGTTTATCTTGACTGTATGTATAGTAGCTTTCTGATATTTCTGCCTTTTCTAAGAGTAATCCTGGACCTTATGCTTCCATCTTCCTGCTACATTCTTTTCTACAATTATTTTCAGAGACTAAGCTATCTGGAAAAAAAAACCTTTTCTGTCTGTTGAAGAAATTACAGAGAACCAATGGTGACAAACATAATTCTGGAAAGTTTTGCAATAAACCACATGAGGTAGATTATGATGCTCTCCCTTTATTGCTTTTTTGTAAGAGTGTTAATGTAGCTTTGTATTCAACATCATTAAAGTGCAATAAATGTCCCACTGAAGTCTAAAAAGTGAACACCGTTTATTTAATATGCTGTGACAGCTTGAAACAGCTACAAAAGTCTTTCATGTAATAAGGAAATTAATTACATTGTCTACAAAATATGTCTCAATGATAGGCATGCCTGAAGGTTAGGGAAGGAAACATTGCCAGCTGACAATTCAAGCTTTAAATATGCTGGAAAGTTTGACTGCCAAGACATAAAAAATGAAACACGGAGTAAAGAACATGTTCATAGGATTCAGCAAGGCTTAAATTTCCTCAATTTGGTCTGCACTATAACATATAACAGATAATCAGAGTTGGAAGGGACCTTATAGGTCATCTAGTCCAACCCCCCGCTGCCCAAGTGGGAGACCCTACATCATTTCTGACAAATGGCAGTCCAATCTCTTCTTGAAAGTCTCAAGTAATGGCGCTCCCACAACTTCCGAGAGCAAGCTGTTCCATTGGTTGATTGTTCTCACTGTCAGAAAGTTTCTCCTTATTTCCAGGTTAAATCTCTCCTTGTTCAGTTTCCATCCATTATTTCTTGTCTGGCCTACAGGCGCTTTAGAAAATAGCTTGACCCCTTCCTCTCTATGGCAGCCCCTCAAATATTGGAGGACCGCTATCATGTCTCCCCTGGTCCTTCTCTTTACTACACTAGCCAAGCCCAGTTCCTGCAACCGTTCGTTGTATGTTTTAGCCTCCAGTTCCCTAATCATCCTGGTTGCTCTTCTCTGTATTTTTTCTAGAGTCTCAACATCTTTTTAATAATGTGGTGAACAAAACTGGATGCTGTACTCTAGGTGTGGTCTTACTAAGGCTTTATAGAGTGGTATTAGTACTTCCCTTGATCTTGATTGTATCCCTCTGTTAATACAATTTAGGATTGCATTAGCTTTTTTGGCTGCTGCTGCACACTGCTGGCTCATATTTAGCTGGTTGTCCACTAAGACTCCAAGTTCCCTCTCACAGTTACTGCTATTGAGCCTGGTTTCACCCAGTCTATATGTGTACTTTTGTTTTTTCTTGCCTAAGTGTAGGACTTTACTTTTCTCTACATTGAATTTCATTTTGTTAGATATGGCCCAGGGTTCTAGTCTGTCAAGATCTATCTGGATCTTGAGCCTATCTTCTTGGGTGTTACCTATTCCTGCCAGCTTAGTATCATCTGCAAATTTGGTAAGTTCTCCTTCTATTCCCTCATCTAAATTGTTAATGAAGATATTGAAGAGTACCTTGTGGCACCCCACTGCTTACTTCCCTTCATGTAGACTTAGACCCATTAAGGTAAAAGAGGCTGGTCAAGAATGAATAGACATGAATAGAAGAATGAAAGTAGATTGAATACATAGGTAGTCCCTGGTAACAGCCATTCAATTATTACTGTTTAAAGCTCATTCAGGTACTGAATGAGAAGTGGCTATGATTATGATCTGGGTGCTTGGCAACCGGTTTGCAATTATGACAGTTGAAGCACCCACCTATGTGATTGTAATTTGCAACCTTCCTTGCTGGTAAAGGAAGTAAGCAAAGTGACGGGGCAAGATAGTAGGGAAGACTGCTAGTTGTTTGGGTTAAGTCCTCCCCACCAATGCACTCAGCCCCTTTGCACTTCCACCATGTCCCCTCATCCCTCACACACCACCACACACCTTTGCCCCATCTGGCAGCAGCCACTCCAAGCCCTACTGAACGCATGCCATGGTTCCCCCGCTATTTGCACACCCTTGTGCATTGTTCTTACCAGCAGCAGTCATTTACTTAACTGCCAGCCTCCTTATAAGCTAAGTGGAACTTGCAACTTCTTACCAGCATGCATTCAAGACAGTTTTCATCATTGTTCTGCTCTATTTCTGTAGATTAGTTATTTCTTATATATAATGGAACTCCACTTCCTCTTTTGTTAGATCTGTTTCTTTAATCCCTCTAGCTGTATATTCCATTCATGGGTTTCATCCCACCAAGTTTCCGTAATGCAACAATAACATATCTGCCCTCATGTACTTGAATTTCAATCACCCTGTTGATTCCTCATCCTTTGTGCATTGTTGTAGACATTTGAATCCTTTTTGACTGACCCTATGTTTACTTTCTACATATTCTGTTTTCTGTCTGAGTTCCCCTTCTTCCTTACCATGTTTGATTAGTACACATGATATGGCGCACACTATCAAAAGCTTGATTTTCCTTGATATTAAAAAGTCCCTTAAAAAGCTGGTCCATATGGAATCAAATTAATCACTGCATTATCACATAAGCTCTTAAAGAATTATGAGTATAATTAAATATTATGTAATTATCTACTGCTTACCTGACCAGGTTGCTCACAAGCTGTTTGGTATCGCGTTTGTTGACATAATTCTTTTACTCTCTCATATTTAGGCAAATGATTTGACTGCTGGGTATTTTTGCCCAGTTCTTCTTTCTTACGCAAAAATTTGCTTTAAAAAGAAAAGAGGCAGTACTTTTGAGAATGTATAAATAATATACATGAATCAAAACAGAAGCGTGTCTATGAAACGGAAGTAACTCAATGACTAATAATTGTTTATCAGAAAATTGAAATGCAATGTATTTGAAATACAAGTCAGGATGAGACATGAGAAGAACTTTAATTTAAAGCAATGTTTCTCAACTTTGGCAACTTTTAGAGGGGACTTCAACTCCCAGAATTCGCCAACCTGCATGGATAGATTTCAAACTCCCAGAATTTCCCAGCCTTCACACTGAAGTCCACATATCTTAAAGTTGTCAAAGACTAAGAAACATGGGCATAAAGAGATCTTTGAGCAGTCTTATATGATTTATAGATGTGTAGCAACATTTCGGCAGAATCTCATCTGCCATCATCAGGCTTCTGTATTGTATTCTGTATATACAGATGCCTGATGATGGCAGATGAGATTCTGCCGAAACGTTGCTACAACTTTAAAAGCACAACTATAATGACGTGGGA